ACTCAACAAAATAGTCCACTCGAGCTTCTTCTATGGTCCCATCCAATACTGAGCCAAGTGCATGGGATATTCGCCCGAACACGATAAAACTTGGTACTCCACCCAAAAGTTCGAACACGTACAAGATGCCCACTCAACCTTCCACTATCGATACCTAGGCAAGCCTGGCCCAGGTAATGATCACATTCAACCAAGACAAAGGCGAGAGAAAGCCTCCTGCACCATTGCAACTTTACAAGGGCTGGGGCGATAGCCCCAGACAAACCCTACCCACCAGCCCTAAATATACATTCAGGGGGCCAACAGACAATGAATTCAAAGAAAGGGAAAAACAAGCACGGCATAACGCTATGTCATGGACTGTATGCTACGATGATGGATGCCCTACACATTGTGGAGATAAAGAGGTCTCAGGATGCTTGCTGAGAGAATACGAAAAGTTTGGTCTGCACGTGGACCATGCCCTAAAGCTCTGGAAACAGTACTTCAACAACACGTGCAAGAAGTACAAGATAAAGAAAATCACTGCAGGATATTACCCACAAAAGGATGGGACAAAGAAAGAGTGGGACGGAAAGGACACCATGATATGGCAGAGTGCTAGGGCCTTGAGAATGAGGCCCAGGATGGGGGGAGCCTAAAATTCATCCACGGAAACGGAACTGGATACCAGAAGCCTACATAGGCAAATCCAAGGACTCCAAGAACAACTAGGCCAAGCCGAGACCACAATTTCAGCAAACGATAAAACGATTGCAGAGCTGACGCAGCTGAACGATGCCTAACGGTACACGACCGAGATGGCGAACCTCACCTTAGAACCGGTGAGGGTAAGATAGTGGAAAGCAGATGACAAGCTCAATAGGTTTCGGAGGTCCATGCGTTCAGCAGGACATGAACTATTGAAGCTAGGGGATAAAGCCTGATGGGACTCAGGCTTAGGGGGAGAGGAGCTAATGTCACGAATGTGGCTTGGCACGGAAAAGGTTTTCACATGACTTATAATTATTGTAACGAGTTCGCAGGGTGCTCATCACATGATCGGTAATTGATACGATAGTTGGTAGGTAGCCTGCTCTTCCAGAGAGGAGGCGAGAGCTGAGAACTACAGGAGGCTTTAAGGGTGTACTGTGGAACAAAGAAGTAACCATTCAACCAAGTATATTGAAATACTGTCAGCAGAAGTCTGCCTTTTCTATCGTAGAAACAGGCAGTTGTTAAATACACAATTCTGTTTATGTGTAGCATGAACGAAAGTAATCAAAAATATCAATTGATACACTTTGGTAAAACTAATTAAGTATCAAAGCGATACTTAAAACAAAACATAAAACAAAACTAATAACCGAGTACCAGTTACAATTATGAGCTATAGGTATGTTATGGTTTCACGCATATGACTTATTTGGATCATATGACTTATTATATTATGATTTATTATGTTTCGCACATGACTCGATTATAAGTCATAAGATGTGTGCCTGGCGAGTATGCCTTGCGAGTATGCCTTGCGAGTATGCCTTGCGGGTATGCCTTGCACATATGATTTATGTTTCACACATGGCCTCATTATAATGTCATTGGTTTCACGCATGTGACTCAGTTGAGTCATATGACTTGTTTATCGCATTATGATTGGTTTATAAGTTTTTGCATATGACCTTACTACAAGGTCAATAGGTTTTGAGTATGTAACCACTTTGGGCACATGATTACTTTGTTATGATTTAGTTTTGCACATGTGACCACTTTGGGTCACATGACTAGGGGCAGGAAGAACACTATATAAGGAGGCCAATGCGGCCGAGGAGGATAGGTTTTTCACGCTTTGTTCTAAGTACTTTTCCTACTTATTACTTTAAGGAATATAAAACACCTTTATGATCTTTATCTTTATTGCAAAATTATCGTTATGCCAAGGAAAGCTCTTCACGAAGAAAGGTTAGAGAAAGCTTACAATAGCCATCCTCGATAGAAGACAAAGGTCTTGTACTATCAGTAACATAAGCAGAAGCCTAACACTATTGTCAGACTAAGGCAAGAAACAGGAGAAGAGAAGTATCATTCCCCATTGCCAAGAACTAACTCTCTAAGGAGGGATCGTTACAGAAGACTACTTGCAGCGTATTCTTTCCAGCGTCCACCTCTGGCAATCTTACCATCAAGGAGGTAGCTCTCTTTCCTACCCTACTTACCTTGTCCACTTTTAGGAACTTGGCCCATGTGAGGTCGATCTTGTGCGCACTTTTAAAGTATTGTTTGATTTCTGTATCTAGCTCGGTTGGGTCAGACAGAATAGCATCTAGTGGAATGCCATGTACCAAGACGTTGACGTCAGTTAGGACTCTTCTGAAAGGAAGATACACTGGTTCTCCCTCTTGGTTCATCGCATTCAATGCCTCGGTCATCTTCTCTAGGTATCTGGACTACTGTCCTGAATTGGCTCACTGTGGTACAGTAACAGTAATTGTGCTGTTTATCCTACTCGAAGACACTTGCAGATTGGTTGGTGCCTTGCATACACAACCCACCAGTGCATCAGTTAGGGCTATCACTATCCTCACTTTATTAGCTGCAGGATTGGCAAGGAGTTTTGCCATCGTTCTTGTGGCAAAGATCTTACGCTTGGCCACTGTAGATCCGTTTTAGTGTTTAGAGCTTTCAACCATTGTCTACTTCCCATCATCTTCGCCCTTGCCTTGCTCCTGTATTTTAGGCTGCTTGGGTGCCGGTTGTTTGGGTGGAGTGGGACCCTCCTCCGAACCGTATTTGCCCTTGCCTTTCTTCTTCTTTGCCAGAGTTGTTTCCATCTCCTGCTTGAAAGCCGCCTCCACATATGTTTTGTTCTGTGACTCAACTGGTTTTTTCGCTGGCGGTGGGTGTTCCACTACTTTCACCACTGCTACCCCTCGCTCCTCTACTAGGGTGGTGAGGTTTTGTATCATAACCGTAAGTGCTTTAATCTGGTGACCCTGCGCTATGATCAGCGACATCATAGCGATGCTTTCAGTAGAAAAGTTGTCGTCTTCAGCATTGCCGATGACATATGTGGCAGGCGTTTGTTTCGTGGGCCCTTGGGCATTAAGCAGATCCATCACGAGCCACTTGATTTGATGAAATTCAGGGAGTTTGTACGGTCCGGTCTCTTCTTTCTTTCCATTCGACCTACCAGGGGTGAGGGTCTCTGGTCTTTCGCTATCGCTGGTATCCATACCTTCAGGAGAAGCCATATCCTGAGTTGGTGTTGTGACTATTTTGGGATTATTCATGTAACCTGACAGGTCACGTTACGCAAGAGTTTAGAAATAGTGTACATGGTATTGAGAAAAGTGCAAAAAGCACTTAGGAGGAAAATCGGAGAGGAGAAGCTTGCAACAGTCAGTGCACAGTGCACAGTGTACTAGTACTGGTACATCGTTCACTGAGCGGGTGGGGCTCTTGGTGTCTATCTTCCCAAGTTGGCACCTATCGTGGCTGGGGGGGTGCAAGGTCCGGCGAGAAGCGATGAAACAACTATTTGAGTATAATCAGCCAAATATATCCCCGCCTATCCTACCCTTTGTACACCTTGGTTCGCGGCCTGGAGACTGGTTTCGTGGTGGAAAAATAGCTGTACAGTGCGTTGTTGGCGTATCGAGAACTTGGAACCTTCGTGCTGCCTGTTGTAACATCCTTCAAGCGCCTGACAAGTCACGTGACCTATGCAGGCGCTGCCAGCGCTGCATATCAATCTGCAGCGAAAGGGAAGGAGGCTCTTTTTCCTCCCTATCAAACCATCCATCACCTGCAGTCGACAGGGCAGCACGGGGCATTGGGCAAAATTTTTTTTTTGACGAACGGGTTTCTGGGTCACAAGTGCCATTATGTGGCATCTTTGGCTTTGTCGTTAAAATTTCTAAAGTCCTGTTAAGGCGTAGGGCAGGGTTACCATCGAGATGGTTAGAATCGAGCCCGATGGATTGGGAGTACAGTACAGTACAGTACTGTACTTGTACTCGTACTCGTACTCGAGTATTGCATGTATGTAACCTGTGGGTCAATTGAGAACTCCCAACCATGGGAATTATTAACATTATTACCGATAGCTTCACGGCGCTTGGATGAGGGCACAGACATTGATGGCCACAGTCACAGTACGGTAGTCGAGCACACTATCGATATCGAGCATATTATCGGTTTTGATATCAGGATTGAAAATTTCTCCCCGCCGCAAAGGTCTCAATTCTCGTGGTAGCATCCGGTCTTCCCGTTCTTGATTATTGCCGCTGCTAGTATTGCTCGTAACCCATGCAGAGGTGAGGGAGGTCGCATAAAAGCGCGCCTACGTGGCAGTTCTAAAGCTGTGGAAAGTCCACTCGTAGGGAGGTGATAGGGTTCTAAAACCCCCCCGACCTCTCCTCCAAATTGTGCAGGACCAATAAATCGGGGGTTGGCGAAGGGTACTGGCACTTGAGCGGGTATACAACCTATAAGGATCTGAGTGAGAGGAGGTGAGGGGAATGTGGGGTTTTGAGGGTGAAGAGGGGCTCTGGATTGCATTCTTGGTGGGTCATCTTCAACGGGGATTGAGATGGGGATGGTGGTGATGGTGGTGATGGTGGGGGGTGTGGCGGGTTTCTCCTGTCGGGATTCTACGCGGGTATGGGTGCCCACGGAAGCTGTTTACGACTTTGCCTAGCGAATTGTGATTTTGGTGAAGAGAGAGGAAAATGCTTTTGGCTTCTCATTCGTGTCGTATGGCGGTACTTGGATTACGTCCTGGACGCGAATTCTATAGTGGCTGAGTGACAGCAGCTCGATGAAGGGTTCGTCCCGACACGTATCATGAGTCGTTTTCTTTTTTTAGTGTTGACTAGTTCGGACACGGTGTAATTCTGTGCCCTAAAGCTACTTCTGAGGCTTGGAAAGGGATGAAAGACGAGATACAATTCGAGCACGGAATTTTTTTATATAATGTGATAGCTACCGCCGACATACCCGAGCTTTGCCAGAACGGACATCCCTTCTTGATACTCGTACTGTATCATACCGAGGAGCTTCTATCACAATTGCTTTCACCTCTTTTCACACCAACGAATCTCACCTGTGGCGGTGCTGACGCCACACAGGAGATAAGGTAGCTGTCCTTACTTTCTTCCTCTCAATTCCCCTTTTCCTCGTTACTTCCACTCGAGTAATACCCGCAATTGGTCCAACGCCTGCAGGTAAAACTTCTCGGAAACCCTCCACCACCAACTCCTGCACTTATTACCTCGAACACGTATCTCTACGTACAGCTCAACCCATCTTTCGCATCCATCACCCCTCCCACACACCTTTTTTTTCCTACTCCCCAATTCAGCCGTCCAATCCTGACGATTAGCTGCAGTCCAGTGAGATATTGATCGCTCAGAGAGAGGCTCTTTATTAACCCTCTCCCTTCTGCCGCTTCTGCTCCCTTTTCTTTCACTCGTTCGAGCGTGGCCTTCCAGCCGCTCCCCCCCAAGCGATCGTCGAAGGTTCTCTGAGGAGACCGAAAATTATCTCCATGTCTAGCATTTCCATTCCTATATCTGCCATCACGGATAGGTTCAACCTAGGCCGTTTCACCGTGAGTTTTTCGGGGGCTGAAGGAAGAAAGAGAAAAAGAAAAAAAAGAGGGTTAACGACTGGAATTACTAGGAGGGTAATCGTATGCCGCTTGCTGGTCGGTTCTCCAACCTACGCCCGCTCGGTGAATTCTTCGATTTCAAACGTCTTTCCAAACCTAATAATTTTGGCGAGGCTCAGAGCCGCGCGAGCTACAATTTGGGCTACTTTTCTAGCAACTATGCCGTTGTCTTTGTTATGCTCAGCATTTACTCGCTATTGACAAACCTACTGCTGCTCTTTGTGATTATCCTCGTCGCAGGAGGTATGTGGGGGATTGGTCGACTTGGCGGGAGAGATCTGGATATCGGTATGTGTCCTTTTCTTCTTTCAACTTGACAAAACCTGTTTTTGTTTGTGATATCTCGTTCAGCCTCAGGTTTTTCTTTTTCTCCTCTTCTCTGCCTTTCGCAATGTCTTGGCTGTAGATCGTAGCTACAACAGGAATTTCCGCCCTTCTAGCTACTGATGGGGTGCCGTAATCTCCAGAGGTAAAAACCAACCCTAACATTTGTTCTCTCCAGGTCCGGTTCACGCTACCACTTCCCAACTCTACACTACTCTTCTGGTTGTCTCTGTTCCCCTCGGTATCTTTGCTTCTCCCATATCCACGATTCTCTGGCTCATCGGAGCCAGCGGAACTTGCATCCTCGCACACGCCAGCTTTATGGACAAACCGATCGAGAATGCTTTTTCCGAGGAGGCGGTCTAGAGATGGTCTCTCCGCGAACTCCAGTGATGAAAAGATATGGGCCATCGAAGTCGGCGGGGACGAGGACTGACTTAATACACAAGAGATTTGAACCTGGTTTAATTGGTGCTGGATTTATTACTAACGGTGAAGAGGTGTTTGGCGGTTATATGAGGGGGCACGAGATCGGTGGAAATGGTTTTGATACGGAGCCGGAGGAGGGTGAGATAATTTCTGACGAGGTGTTGATGCAACGGGCCCCGGCGGCCTTTAGGAGAGCGGAATCGAGGCGTGATGGGGCGGTAGAAATGGAAGAACGGGAATGGCAAGTATGGAACAGGCATCAGGCGATGGAGCGGGAGATTGAGAAGCGAGTGATAGAGCGGGAACGGGAGAGGGAGATACAAAGGGAGATAGAAATTGATAGGCAGCGACAATTGGACCAGCGAAGACCGAGTCCAGCCCGTAGCGAGCGAATTCACCGAAGCCCGAGCGCGAGCAGAACTCGTAGTGGTAGCGGCGGGACACGAAACCGAAGCGGAAGCGGAACAGGAGGGTATGGATTAGGCGTAGCTAATATGGGGGAACCGGGCTTCCCAGGAGATAGCAGTTTCGCCCCGGCGGGCTACTCATCCTCCGCCAACTCCTCCCCTAAAATCTCGCACTCATCCGCAACTTCCTCTTTGCGGCTGGATCGGCCATATAGCCGTCAAGCCCGGGATTCTCGAATGATCGCATCATCAGATATAGAACATCACATGCCCCCTCGCTACGCCCGCGACATCAACCCCTCTTACACATCCTTACCTTCTGCCTCTGCCGCTCACCCGCGTGTCACGGTCCCATTATGCTCAACCATTTCCTCCTCCCCCTATAGAGCAAACCTATCCCCCTCCCCATCATTCGTAGAACCAGCATCTACCACTTCACCGTACCGGAGATCCAGCTCTCTTAACAGAAACGTTGGATCGACGGCTAGTTTCCCGCCTGGGGCAAGTTATCATCCGGGAATGCATCCTAGCATACCAGGTGGTTCCGGGTGGGCGGGGAGTGATCGAGAGGATAGTAGCAGCGGGGGCGGGGGTGGGAGGTCGAGAGTTAGGAGGGGTTTGTAGTTAGGTTTATCGGTGCTTTTTCGGTCGCCTCTTGTTAGATTTCTAAAGGGTTTCTTTTGTTTTTGTCCTTGTTTTGTTGGTTTTCTGATATTTTTCCTTTTTTCTTATCTTGTTTTTGTTATTGTCATGTTTATGTAGGGTTGGTTGGTTGGTTGTGCGATTAGCGGTGGTTGAAGATGGGGAGTAAATACATACATTCGGTTTGAAGAGGAGTACTGGTATTGTTGGAGCATAATTTTTCTTGTCTCGCATTTGTTCTCGTATGTGAAGTTGGGATACCGGTGTGAACAAGGGCAATTGGATAGGGTAGTCTTGGGGAGTTGTATGGTGTTTTCACCAGTGGGGTATGTCCCATATTAGTGGAGGGCTGGGTAAACAGAATTTTCCGCACAATTAGTGCCTTTATGTTTTCTTAGCTAGACTTGCACATCACACCTTCTTGGTGGCACTCAATTCAACCTTCACTCCACATCTGCTAAGCCTTCCTTTATCAATTGATTTACTCTCGCCATCTTGACAATATTATACCTGCTCTATCTGGAGTCAGTTCCGCTGTTACTACCTTCTAGTATAGCAAGCAGGTCCCAAGTGGCAATTCTTTAGCACAAGCGTGCTCGGTCAATCCGCCGTCTGAAGTGGGAAGTTGCAAGAAAAATTCCCACACCGGTAATAAGGTAAGCAAGAGGCGCACAAATACGAGCGTTGCACCGTAAGTACGGTAGGTTACTAGTCCTCTGCCCAACTCTAACTCAGCACTGTATCGTTATCGCATCCTCGAAATAGCCATTCAGCTTCCCCCTTGCCCCATCCAGTCAGCCAATCGGCCAACTAACCAACCCTCGGAGTGTAGGGGGGAAAGGAAGAAAGATGAGAACTCTCCATTACCGTAAAGACCGGAATGGAAGGTGAACGTGCCAGGAGGTTACAGATGACTCTCCTAGTGAGGCGCTGTTTGTTCTTCCTGTTTTGTCAACCGGGTGCTGAGTCGCAATGTTTTCCTCTCGAGTGAGATACCGGGACAGCCGCATTCGAAAAGTTCTCGTACCTGCCAAGTATCATACCCCCCTGCCTTGGAAACGATTTGCTAACACTCGGTCCTTCATGATTGGGCAGAAGGAATTGTGGCAAAGTTGTACAGTACCCCTAGAGGCACATTTGAGAACGGTCAGCTAAAAGGCTTTTCTTGTTCTCCTGTTGTCGGTCGGCACAGCTCTTGAGGCACAGTGGAGGGTATGATATGGTGCATGCCGTCTAATCACAGCCTGCACCAAGGGAGGGCGTTGCCATGGGGGACGCAACGGGGATGCAACGGGGGACACCTTGGCGCTCATTTAGGTGGGAAACTATCCCCTCGGCCGCTGAGACATTCAGTCCAGTTTTAAATGTTGAATACTAGCCTAGTTGAGCAATCACTTTGCCAATCATTGAACCTCATCACAACTCTCAGCTTCTCGGTTAGGGAGCAGTACCTATTACATATCTTTACCTAGACCAATCTTTCTTTCTCAAAAGATGCCTTCAAAGAGAAGAGTACTAGGAACTCTAGATGCCAATCTAAGTTTTCAACAAAATAAGCAGGTGAGGATTCAGAATGAGAATCTGCCCATACCTCACAGCTCAGAATATCGTGACCGGCAACTACTCAAACTATGTCAACCAAGTGTGTCTATCAATATACTAACCTCCACTGTTCTTTTGAAAAATTGAGAATTACTGACTAGAGGGAGCTGAAGACAAGCTAGCAGAATACTGTAACTCAGGTAGATCATTCCCTTCATCTACCAACCTTTCTGATCCTGCTCGTCCATCTCCGAAACCCGTTCTACCATTGAATGGCTCATATCCCCCCTGGACACCACGACATGACAGCCAAGTAGATGAGAAGAGGCGGAAGAACAACTGTGTTCCTGCTGCTACCCTACCTGAAATACCTGATTTTTATCCTTTTCAGGTACTGTTTGAACAGCATCAAGCCCAGGTAAGTTGGGAAATATCTCTATACTATTCTGAGAAGCTTTCAGAATTAGTAGAAGCAGAAATAAGGTTTGAGATGAAAAGGTTTACTGACGGATTTAATTGTAAAATAGGTCCTCTTACCAGATGATGTACATAGAGATCCAACCCTTTATGCTTTATTCTCCCTCTTCTGGGATGATGAAGTATTCAACCAGTTAGCACAAAATACCAAGTTGTATGCAGAAAAGCGCTGGAGTTTAAATCCAAATAAAGTCTCTGGACAAAGTGATACTACAGGAACAGAAAAGACTTTGGGCCTTTGGAGAAATATGACTGCCGAGGAGTTGAAAGTGTGGATTGGAATAACTATCAAGATGGGATTGTATAAGGAGTCTGCCTTTAGCTTGTATTGGTCCAAGAGAGGGAGAAATGGATGGTGGAAAATCTTGAGAAAATCTATGCAAAAGTCTTGGTGGTTGACAACATCCTATCAGTACCGAGTACCCAGTAATTGTATGTCGTTAAATTGATTCGAACAGCTGAAATGATACTTTCATGTATCTGATCCTCGCATTCAGCTTGATATGAAGGATTGGTATAAAAAGCTTGATCTCTTAGCTACAGTTCTTCAAGAGTATTTTAGAAGATATTATCTACCTGCTACGAAGGTTGCAATTGATGAAATGGTAGTAAGGTTTGGTGGAAGAAGTCACCATACCTTGAAAATCAGAAATAGGCCTATCAAGAAAGGGTATAAAATTTTTGCCCTCTGCGATCATGGATATACATACAGCTTTCTTTGGTATTACTCCACCCAGGTATAGCCCAACTTCCTCCCTGCTCCTCCGATCTTACACCAACCTCCTCAGATGTTCTACACCTTGTAAAGCTACTTTCTTCCAATTACCAGTGGTATCTTATATTGGATAACTATTTTACAAATATACCACTGTTTGAAAAATTAAAAGAATTAGAAATACAAGCTGCCAGTACTACTCGGAGCGATGCTGTCAGATTTCCTAGAGCCTTAAAAATTGAGAAGGAGGAGGCAAGAAAGGTGCCTCCTTGGGGACATATTAGTGGCGAGGTGGTAGGGAATGTATGTTGTTTGGTTTGGCAGGACAATAGTTCTATGCTATTCATGACAAGCTACAATGATATTATACAGAAGGTTGAAAGATTACGCTGGCAACCAAAGAAGAGCAGTATAAATGCAACTATAGTATGGGGTATATTTGGAAATGAGCCCAGAAAGTAGCTTCCAATTCCACAGTTTATCGACAACTACAACTATCATATGGGTGGAGTTGATATTGCCGATCAGCTTCATTCCTACTACTCTACACAGCAGCAAAGTTGTAGGAGCTGGTATTCTCTGTTTTACTGGCTTCTAGATACAACACTAGTGAACTGCTACTGGATTCAAAGAACTCTTGATACCTCTTGTATTGTCTGAAGTCAGCACTACTTCTTTTGATCTGAAGTTGATGATAAATTAATCAAATCTGATCTTGAAGCATCTCTGGATATCAACTCCCTCGATCCCTTACCTCTCGCCTTCCCCTTACATCCTAAACCCTCTACCTTTCCACTATTTCTAGACTCCCATACGACCTCAACCATTTTCTCTCTTTCATCTTCCTATAACTCTCTTATTCCTCAAGCCCCTCCTATACTACCTCCAGATACACCTCTTCTGCTTTTATTAAACTAAAAGAGTCTACCTTGGCCTCTTCCCCACTACCTTGCGATACCTTATAGCCTTTCTCAACAATCTTAGGCATATTCTATCTTCTATACTTCTACCAGTGACAGCTCCCCAGCCTCAGAGTATTCGAGAACCTTATATCCACCCCTGCCCCCTTTCCTGCATTATTTAGCTTTCTTAAGGGCTGTGGGTTCCACATCTCTTTCAAACAATCTAGTTTTTGACAAAACCAAATATATCCACCGCCCGTTCAACCAGTATAGCTTTTCTGAAAATAACCAAAAACCTTTACCTACTTCATTTCCACCGCTACTGACCCACACAATCGAGCAATGCCCAGTATCAACCCAATTCATTTTCTGTTGCTGGAAAAGGTTTGAAAACAGGTCACAAGTAGTTAAGATTAGGTCAGTTACTTATGCGTGTAAAGAATGTAATGTTGCATTATGTTATGCGTGTTTTCCTGTTTTTCATAGTTAGTTTTTTTTTGGATTCCTGTAGTATACAATAGTAGGTTGAATCCCGACCTGATATCATGCGATGTTGATCATTTCTTGAATAGGATAGTATTCAACATATAAAACTGGACTTCATATCTCAGCGGCTGAGGGGATAGGCTTAGGATTAAATTCTTAGGATATGAGTGTAGTTTTATTAGAACCAGCATATAGGCAGTTTTCGTTGTTGTTGGGAAAATGAGTTTGAAGTGTGGCAATCAAAGAAAAATCTTCTGGAGATAAATGAGTTTTTCTTTTTCTCTCAAGTAAATCGATTACTCTACGATGATAAAAATGTTTAAAAATAAAATAACTTGGTTGAGGTTTTGTTTTGTGTATAGGTTTTAGATCTATGAAAAATATTATATGAAATGATACTATTTACATGGTTTTCGTATATACCTTTGTCTCCCTCATCTTATCAGCACTCATCTTATCGGAGTATACATCACTTGAGTAACCTGACACTGAAGCACCTTGTTTAGTCTTAGTATATTCTGAATTTATATAATATACTTTATTTCTAACTTCGGGAAACTTACTATCACTTTCATTATTCAAATCCCTATTATCTGAGCTTGTCATTGTAACAAATTTGCAGTTGTTAAGAGAGATTATATGGGAATTGAAAGTACAAATTGAAACAAATTGAGAATAGTAAATATTGAAATAGTAATACAGATGAAAGAGCATTATAGAGCTAGCTATATTCTATATCCGTTATAATTCAGGCCTAGAGATTTGGAATAGGTTTTGTGTACTCATATATTGCTTATTTATCATCAGGATTTAAGAAGTACTTCACACAACACATTTTTACAAAAAAAGTATCTTGACTTTAATAACAAATAGCACATGAACTAAGTACTCAATTGATTTGAAAAAAGGTTCTACAGATAGCCAGAGAGATCTAGTATTTTTCTAAAGAAAAAAATCATTTTTGAGATATTTGTCATGAATGTGGCTTGGCATGGAAAAGGTTTTCACATGACTCATGATTATGTATTTTAGCTACGTTATTGTTTCATACATATGACACATGTAGGTCATATGGCTTGTTATGTTATGATTTGTTATGTTTCGTATATGACTCGATTATGAGTCATGGGATGTGCACCTAGCGAGTATACCTTGCAAGTATGCCTTGCAGGTATGCCTTGCACATATGATTTATATTTTGCACATGAGCTTATTATGAGGTCATGGGTTTCGCGCATGTGACTACTTAGAGTCATATGACTTGT